GTGGGGGGGTAAAAAAGTTTTAGGTTTAGTATTGCTTATTTTCTCTTTCTTTTTCAAAACTCATATTCTTCGTATAATTATGTAATTTGATTATACAATAATTTATTTAATTTTTCTTTTTCTAATATGTTGAAAATAATTTATTAAATATTTATTATTAATTAAAAATAAAATAATTTGCACTTTACTCTTGAAAAAAAATTATTATTTTCTATAAATTTGCTAATCTTCTTTGAGCCTTCTAAAATGAAGTTGTGAATAACTTTTGAAAAAACTTCAATTCTTAAGTTTTCAAGGATTATATGTGATTTCTGAAATTGAAAAAAAAAGTGTGATAACTTATGAATTTAAAGTGATTAAATTAAAAATCTGAAATAAAAATTTATTTGAGTATATTGATTGATTGAGAACTTGTATGAAGATTCAGCATTTTAGGGAATATTAACTTTTATTTTATCACTCAAACATGATATTTTAATATATTATTTATATTTAAAAAATTATTTATTGAGATGATGTACACACACAAAGCGCGTATTCATAAGACTAGTTTAAATAAATAAAAAAAAAGAAGTAAAGCTTTAAGATGCGAAAAGTGCTCTACTTTGCGAACTTCCTAGTTGTACACGGCTAAACTCGGACGCTCCGATTTTATGATCGATATGACATTCCGTAGCAGAAGGCTCGAGGAACCGATCGAGGTTCGACCCAGAGGGTTCCCTATGCTCGATTTTGGGGTAGCACAAATCGATGGCTATCATAGACAAGCGGAAAATTCCCAAAGCGCATGCTCAAAACTGACAACGCCTGCAAAAATAGTACGAGTTCGTACCGGACCATCAAGTAGTTGTATTGTCACGACCCAAATCCACTACGGGTCGTGATGGCGCCGGAGACCGTTGTCAGGCAAGCCAACTAACTCATCCATTGATTTCTCTTTTAATAGTTTTAAAAATCTAAGAGTTTTACTTCCATTTTTTATATACATACAACCTCTGTTTCAATTCAAATGAAGAGATAACTAATAATACGCAACCTTCAAAGAAAACCATCGCAGAACCCGGTGTCACAAGAGCATGAACAACTACTGATAAGGACAATAAAATACAAATATCTGTCCGAAATACAGCGGACAGAGAATAAATAAGTAAGGTACTGGAAGGGAACTATTCTAGCTGCGGGTCGTCTCGAACAATGTAGCTCACCAAGTCCCCAAATCATCCGTGGTGCTACCAAATGTAAAATATACCTGTACAACAAAAATGCACAGAAGTGTAGTATGAGTACGTAATCAACGTGTACTCAGTGAGTATTCCGCCTAATCCCGAAGGGGTAGAGACGAGATGGCCAATTTCGACACTCACTAGAGGTCAATTATCAATATTCAATAATGCGAGGATAATCGTGGAGTCATATAGTAGTTCTAGTTCAGGAAGCCAGGAAAAAAAACAAGTAAAACACCTTCAACAATAATCAAGGGCTTCAAGGTTTATTCTTTATTATCTTATCAGTTTATATCAAGCCACGTAGGGCCAATTCCACATTTACAATTTTCAAGTAACAGATAAACACGCGCAAATCATGCCGAGGTCGACGGCCCGCTCCAACAAAAATATAAATTGTGCACTGCCGAGGGTCGAGCGGCACGAACCATAGATGCATCTATTCTTACCGAGGCGTTCGGCCCGTTCCATAAATAAACACATACCCTGCTCGCGAATCATCCATGTGACGCAGGCACACATAAAATACATGCTCAATCAGTCAAATAAGAACTTATCGGGGAATATTTATTCAAATAAAACCAATTATCCTTTAACAATTTAAGAAATAAAGTTTAATACTTTTAGAAATTTACTTACCAATTCGATATGAGTTAAACAATTCGAGCTACCAATGGGTTCACAATTAATCCACGTGCAACATGTTTTTGAGTCCTAACTACCCGGACAATAGCATAATAGTAGCTACGCACGGACTCTCGTCACCTCGTGCGTACGTAGCCCCCACAAATAGGAGCACATAATCAGTTACTTCATCTATGGGGTAAATTTCCCCCTCACAAGATTAGAAAGGAGACTCACCTCGCTCTGAAGACTCATAACCGGCATTCAACATTCTTCTGAAGGCTTGAACCGACACTCAATGCACCAAAACTAGCCAATTAACGACAAATTAATGAGAACATGCTCAAATACTTGTTAGAAATTCAAATTATACAGATTCCCAACTCCGCTTAGTGAAATGACCAAAATGCCCTCGGGCCTAGGTGCCCGAAATCCAAAATTTCTCGAAGACAAAGGTTACCCATGACCTCAGGAACTCAAATATATATTTTTATCCTAATTCCATACTCAAAATCGTGGCTAAATTCCAAGAATATCATTTTCTAGGTTTCCACCAAAAACCTCCATCTTTACATTAATTTTCATGCTTAAATCCATACATAATTGATCTATTTAACTCAAAAGTGATGGGGATAACTTACCTTTATATAGATGACGAAGTTCCACTCTTTGGAGCTCCCCAAATCGCCCCAAGCCATGAACCAAATGAGAGAAATGACTCCATTCACGATTTAAAACAACCTTACTGCCTCTAGGTGTTCCGCTTCTGCGATGAAATTTCCGCTTCTGCGGATGTCGCTTCTGCGACTATTTAACCGCTTCTGCGGTTTTGGGCATGAGGGAACTGGCCGCTTCTGCGGTCTGGGGGCCGCTTAAGCCGAACCGCTTCTGCGGTCCCTGGGCCGCTTCTGCGGTTTTCCTTGGACATGGCCCCTTCCGCTTCTGCGAGCTTTTGACCGCATCTGCGGTCCCGCTTCTGCGGTCCAAGAACCGCAGATGCGGTTATGACAGAAGCAGCAAAACTCAAGCCTTCCCAAATTCCACTTTCGATCCGTTAACCACCCGAAATCCACCCGAGGCCTCCGGGACCCCAACCAATCATACCAACCAGTCCCAAAACACATTAGGACTTGCTCGAGGCCTCAAATCATAACAAACAACGCTAAAACCATGAATTACACTCCGATTCAAGCTTTATGAACTTTGAACTTTCCAACCTCTATTTCCGATGTTTAAACCTATCAAATCACGTCCGATTGACTTCAAATTTTGCACAAGTCATATTTGACATTACGGACCTACTCCAACTTTCGGAATTGGATTCCGACCCCGATATCAAAAAGTCAACCTCCGGTCAAACTTCCCAAAAACTTTCAAATTTCTATCTTTAGCCAAATGGCTTCAAAATGACCTACGGACCTCTGAATTCACTTCCTATCGCGCCCCCAACTCCAGAATCACCATACGAAACTACTCCCAGTCTCGGAATTCCAAACGGACATCGATAACTCTGAAATGCACTTCAAACCAAACTTATGAAATTCCTTCTAAAATGCTAACTTCCACAATAAGCGCCAAAACGCTTCCGGGTTATCCAAAACCCGAACCGGGCATACGCCCAAGTTCGAAATCATCATACGAACCTGCTGGAACCTTCAGATCCTGATTCCGAGGTCGTTTACTCAAAATTCCAATCTTAGTTCGTTTTCCCAACTTTAAGCTTCCGAAATAAGAATTCTTTTCCCAAATCAACTCTGGACTTCCCGAAATTCAATTCCGACCACGCGTACAAGTCGTAATACCTGAAATGATGCTGTTCATGGCCTCCGACTGCTGAACGGAGCGCTAGAACTCAAAACGACCGGTCGGGTCGTTACAATATCCACATCAAAGAGAAATTGACCGGAACCATTCCAAATTTTAAATAAGAAACCCTTCCTTATATTTTCAAGGTTACATATTTAAATTTGTTCAAGATTTGCAGGCAGACCTATAATTTTCTCATAACATAATGTTAATAAAGATTTAAACTCCATAACTCAAGTATTGATATGTAGAATTATTCAATCTCAATTATTCTATGAATCCGCGATTTGCTTTAGCTAAAAGATGGCAGTTTCTTTGTAACACTACAACTGGTTACCCAGTTAAATATTTTTGATCAATTTGAACTCAAAACGAATATTCTTTTGTAGCACGTTCACCGAGAAGAAATCGAAAGACTTGAAATTGATGTTTGATTCGCTAGCTGCACAAATTTTCCTTCTATTTTCAGGTATTTTCTGTCAAATTTTCAACTTTTTCCCAATGAAATCATGAATTAGATATTTATAATTATAGGGTTATATTGGAGTTGAAGGGTCATTGTGATAGCATTCATGGCAGCTCAACATCATTAAAGGAGAAGGATGAAGCTCTGGAAGCTCCAAGAAGGCCCATGACAAGGTCTCAAACAAAGAAATTTCAAGACAAGCTTAATGGGCTTCAATTGGCAATTAAAAAGTATTTTATAATAGAAGAAGAGCTCCAGCACAAGGAGGATCTTTGGGCCAAGTCTTACAACTATTTTGAGGCCAAAATTAAAGTCCAATAGGAGATGGAATGAGGCCCAAATATGCCCCAAAAGAGAGGAATTTTCAGCAGCCCAAATAAGCCCAAAAATAGTTTCTAGAATATATATTTAATAGTTGTTTTAATCTATGTTGACTTGCATTGGCCTATATGTATGTTGACTATATTGGTCTTAGTGTGGGTAGTCTTCTATGCTTCTAGGGAATATAATTCTCATTTATTGAAGTCTTGACTAGCTCCTTCTTTACTACTATATAAAGGGGTGCTTGTCTTCCATTGTAGAAGATCATTGAAGATTAATATTATTATTGTGAGTTCTTTGAACCTTTGTGAACTTTACTTTGAAGATTTATCTTGCAACCCTAACTAGTTCATAGCTTAAGGTAGTAAGATAATTTTCTTTCTTGTGATATCTTTTGTTTCTTTTGATATTCTTCGAAGGCGACTAGTTTCTTTTACTAGTTGTTGTCGTAAGTTATTCAAACTAGAAGTCAAGATCCGAATCTAGTTCTTGATTAGCTTATCTCTAGTGAAGGCAATTGGTTTCATAACCAACTTGTTGTCATTAGGATCTTGTCAAAATCTAGATTAACATAATCTCGGGGTTCTTGGAACTTTCCTCGAATTTCGACATATATAGTTTATTTTTCTTGCTCCGCTTGCATTTCTTTACTACTTCCGCATTTCATCAACTTATTTTCTTCAAGTTCTTGGATCTCCCAACCTTTGTGTTATCAAGTGGTATCAGAGCGGTTGTATCAAGATTCCGTTCTTGATAAATCTTGGGGATTTCTTGAAAAAGGAGCAAAAAAAAAACGAAAAAAAAAGGAGAAACATATTTGCTCTTCAAGAAATTAGATTTTTATTTGTGTTTGTTTCCAAAATCAAGGAAGGAAACAAGCAGAAGGGATCCTAATACTTTGATCTTGTTCAGAAAAAAAATCCTTTTCTTTGTTCGAGGTTTGTTTCAACTAAATCCTACTCTTTCTAGGATTGGTTCTTCACTTTCTTTAGTGCCCCAAATTTCGTTGTTTTACTACTAAAGGCTTTGATACGAGTTGGGTTTAATTATAAATCTACAAGGTATTTTTCAAAGGTTAATTGAGGGGAAAAAGGCAAGAGTGGGTGAGAACAATTGAGGGAAAGAGCCAAAGTTTGAGTGATAACTATTATTATTATTATTTTAAAAAGATGTCATATACAGGTGCTAGTGATGATGAACAGAGGGCTCTCCAAGAAGCCGAAATCCGAGCAAGAAATGATTTCACTCTACAAGCTATGCATCAACAATTCGAGAGATGGAACTTGCAATTCCAAGAGATAAGGGATACTATTGCCGAACAAAATGAGACAATAGTTGCACTTAGGAGGGGAAATCAACCTGATGTACAACCTCGAAATAATCCTAGGCCTCTTAATAGAAGAAATGTACCCCATGCCCCCATTGTAAATCAAGAAAACCCTATAGATGATTTTGTTGATGATCTTGATGTAAATCCAGATAGGGTGGGAAGAGATAGGAGGGGACAACGAGGTAGAGTAGAAGATGATAATATTAGCAGCATAAAAATGAAGAT